CACTTAAGCTCACACCAACTGCTTCAGTGACTCCATCCAGCCACCACATCCTCTGCCGTCCCCTTCTCCTTTTGCCATCTATTGTTTCCAGCATTAGACTCTTCTCCAGGGAGTCCTTCCTTCTCATTAGGTGGCCAAAATATTTGAGTTTCATCTTCACTATCTGGCCTTCTAAAGAGCAGTCAGGGTTGATCTCCTTTAGAAATGACCGGTTTGATCCCCTTGCGGTCCAAGGGACTCACTGGAGTCTCCTCCAGCACCACAATTCAAAGGCCTCAATCCTTTTGCGCTCAACCTTCCTTATGGTCCAGCTTTCACAGCCATACATTGCATCTGGGAAAACAGTAGCCTTGACTATATGCACTTTTTTTGGCAGGGTGATGTCTCTCCTTTTTAGTATGCTGTCTAGATTTGCCATAGCTTTCCTCCCCAGGAGCAAGCATCTTTTAATTTCTTGGCTGCAGTCCCCATCTGCGGTGATCTTGGAGCCCAGGAAAATAAAATCTGTCACTACCTCCATTTCTTCCCCATCTATTTGCCAGGAAGTGAGAGGACCGGATGCCATGATCTTAGTTTTCTTAATGTTGAGTTTCCTAACTTTACCATCTGTTTAATGTTGGGTGAATAACTGTTGTATTTGACAGCCTGAAATGGTGAAGTGACTCCAGTAGTTTTGTTTTATGCTGATCTCTGACTGTAATAAAGCATTTGAATTTGCATTTGAGTTCAGAATTTGAAAGACTTTGAAATGATCTCTAAGTTATCCAGTTATAAAATCAATAGGAAATGATAAAGTCCTATTCATTTTATACCAGGAGTAATATAAAAAAATCAATTTTGTCTAATGTTTGTTGCATAGATAAATGTGGGTTTAAGACAGTCAGAGCTAGATCATTTGTATAACTTTTAATTTTCTATTCTTCTCCATCTATTTTAGGTCATTTATGTCTGGGTCCTGTTGAATTAGCATGGCTAAAATTTCCAATACAAAGATAAATAGAAATGGGAATAGTGGGCATCCTTGATGGGTTCCATTTTGGATTGAAAAGTATTGGTTAGCATTCCATTTATAACAATCTTAGCATGTGGCTTAGCATGGATTGCTTGGATCCAGTTCAGAACTCTCAGACCACCACTAAATATTTAAGAGTTTTCAAGAAAACTGACCAAGACATGTTACCAAAGACTTTTTNTGGTTAGCATTCCATTTATAACAATCTTAGCATGTGGCTTAGCATGAATTGCTTGGATCCAGTTCATAACTCTCAGACCACCACTAAATATTGAAGAGATTTCAAGAAAACTGACCAAGACATGTTACGAAAGTCTTTTTCCACATCTAGCAAGACAAATGCCACTATGTTCTTCTTATTAACAAATTAAATTGCAAAGCAGGCATTATCTTTCATTAACCCCTTTGGGATAAATCCAGTTTGATCTCTATGAGTCCCTTTTTCTAGATATTTTCTTAGTCTTTCAGCTATTATCAGAGTAAAAAGTGTATAATCCACATTCAAGAATGAAATTGGTCTCTGAGACAGTGATGGGGCAACATTGTTTCATCCTGTATGTATCAATACATTATGTACGATACTTCAAGCAAATGCTCTTCTAATCTTCCAATCTCTTCTAAATAGGTCTTTGCAAGACCTATTTTCCCCAAAAACCAACAGATGACGCCATTGACACAATAGCAGGGTTACCAGAGGGGAAGAAATTCAACCCTGTAATTCTTCTTAGAGGGGAATGAGTGGACCAACTGAAAGGCAACAAATCCAAAGGGCCTGCAGAAATTACAAATCCACTTTGAGGCGCATTCCTACAGATCAGTTCTCAGACAGGCCTCAACAACAGTAGCTTCTTTTCACATCATTTTCGAGTCAGTGAGACAAAGGCAAATGGCACCTGGCCAGCAAGAGTGTCCCAAACCCCCCACCAGCAAGTTCCAGTCATTGCAAACTGCTCAAAGGAAAGCCCATCAGCAGCCAATGAGTCATTCTTACCCTCCTAGTATAATCCACAAATGATTTCATAGCTTTATCATTTTAAAGCCAAATTAGGAGATAGAACGAAAGTGGCTGGTCAGACATGAGCTTTGTTTGGGGATGGGTAACAGGTTTACAAAATCAATTCCGGAATTTGTGTTGTTCTTAATAGGAGCACTGCTCTCAGCTTACACTGGGACCACAGCACAGCAGCAGAAGAGAATTAAATTCTTCCCACCACCAATTTGTGTTATTAGTCGCAAACTGGTGTCTGACCCATCGCAACCCCATGGAAAACATTTCTCCAGGCCTTCCTGTCCTCCACCATCCCCCGGAGTCTACCTAAGCTCATACCAACTGCTTCAGTGACTCCATCTAGCCACCTTATTCTCTGCTGTCCCCTTCCTCTTTTGCTATCTATTGTTTCCAGCATTAGGCTCTTCTCCAGGGAGTCCTTCCTTCTCATTAGGTGGCCAAAGTATTTGAGTTTCATTTTCAGTATCTGGCCTTTTAAAGAGCAGTTAGGGTTGATCTCCTCTAGGA